CTGTGTATACGGAATCTCTGGCCTAGTTACATGTACACTGAGCATTTTCTTTTGCTGCGTTGTGTTCATTGTCGCGTTTGGGATTCAGGGTGTGTTATGAAGCGCGGGTTCGGTTCTGGACCTGCAATTTAATACCTTGGCTATCGCAATGCGGGTATTTTCTCGAGGATCCTCGCGCGAGACTCTGCTTTGATTCCAACTTGTGAACACGCCCTGGATCCATGGTCCCTCCTGTGTTGAGTGACCCGCTGGGGTTGCCCTTGAGATCCTCGGGGAAGGGCCACAGGTGCAGAGCCTGGGGGGCTATGGGCGCACTTACCCGCTATTCAACAAGCCCTCTTAACCCAGTGGTTAGTGGCTGGGTTTTTGACATGGTATCAAAGCAAAAGGTCTTGGGTTCAACTCCCAATGCCAGCGCTGCAGAGGCGCTCGTGTCTTCCACCTATACCAGCGGGGGGGGGGGGGGGGGGGGGGGGGGGGTGTTGAGTGACCCGCTGGGGTTGCCCTTGAGATCCTCGGGGAAGGGCCACAGGTGCAGAGCCTGGGGGGCTATGGGCGCACTCACCCGCTATTCAACAAGCCATTTGAACCCAGTGGTTAGCAGGGCTCAAATTATCCGGGTAAAATGCCCTGATTGCCCTGATTTTTCAGGGCATTTTTTCATTTGGTCTTAAAAATCAGACTTACGAAAGTTATTACCCTGATCCAAAAAGTGTTACGAAAATATTACCCTGCCGAAACTAGGGTTGCGGGGCCCCGAACCCTGACCCTTCAGGGCGTCCTGAAAACTACCCTGGTATCGAAACTCCGAGATTCCGACTAAGTCCTTGGTGGCCAGAAAGATTTCCCCCAAAACACCCTGCAACCAAAAATTTCGACGAAGTCCCTAGCGGCCAAAGTCATTCCTCCCACCCCACGCACCATGCAAGCCAGCCATTTCGGCTAAGTCGTAGCCAGAGTCATAGCTCCCTCACCCCCTCGCAACCCAGAAATGGCTAAGTCCCCCACAAGAGACATGCCTCCCAACCACACCCCCGCTACTTTTTTTTTTCGCAGTCCTCCACACCATAGCAAGACACGTCACGTCGTATACGCCCTTCTGACACCCAACCAATCACGAGCAGATGGTTTTTTTCCCGCCCCTCTGCCGCCCATGTAAATTTGATTCCCCTCTCGTGCCCCAGAATCGTTTTCCGTCCCATCCCATTCCCCAATCTCCCCCAGCACGCGCAAATCTGCTACACACTTCTTTCCACACCTCAGTGCAGCCCACTTCATTCATGTAAAATGTTCCTTAAATGGCCAAGGCTAGAAAGGGTGCAAAGAGTTCTACACTTGAAGCAAAGACTTCGAATTTTTTTACCCTGCCAAATCAGACTTAGAATTTTTTTAGCTCTGACCGTCAGGGCATTTTTTTTTTCCTACTCTGATCTCAAAGAGTGGCCTAAAACCAATTTTGGGCCCTGGTGGTTAGTGGCTGGGTTTCTGACACCTCCCTGCGATTCGCGTCGCCTGACGATCGTAAATGTGTCGATTGTGTTTGTCCCAATCGTCGAAACTCGCATTTCATGTGTTTTCAAGCGTTTCACTTTCTCCTGCTGCCCATAAATTGGGTTTCAGCTCAATTCATCTCTTTCCAAACTTTACAGGAGTGCCCTACTTCAAGGGGGGCTCTCTTGAAATCCCTCTGTGTAATTCAGGGCTCAAAATTGGTTTTAGGCCACTCTTTGAAATCAGAGTAGGAAAAAAAAAATACCCTGACGGTCAGAGCTAAATAAATTCTAAGTCTGATTTAGCAGGGTAAAAAAATTCGAAGTCTTTGCTTCAAGTGTAGAAATCTCTGCACTCTTTCTAGCCTTGGCCATTTAAGGAACATTTTACATGAATGAAGTGGGCAGCACTGAGGTGTGGAAAGAAGTGTATTCTGTAGCGGATTTGCGCGTGCTGGAGGAGATTGGGGGATGGTACGGAAAACGATTCTGGGGCGCGAGAGGGGAATCAGATTTATGTGGGCGGCAGAGGGGCGGGAAAAAAACCACCTGCTCGTGATTGGTTGGGTGTCAAAAGGGCGTTTTCGACGTGACGTGTCTTGCTGTGGTGTCTTGCTGTCGTGTCGGAATCTCGGAGTTTCGATACCAGGGTAGATTTCAGGACACCCTGAAGGGTCAGGGTTCGGGGCCCCTCAACCCTAGCTTCGGCAGGGTAATATTTTCGTAACACTTTTTGGATCAGGGTAATAAATTTCGTAAGTCTGATTTTTAAGACCAAATGAAAAAATGCCCTGAAAAATCAGGGCAATTAGGGCATTTCACCCGGCTAATTTGGGCCCTGGTGTAATTATAGACTCAGGCTATAAGACCGGTTTTATTGAGGACCCATAGGGTGTTTTTGGCGGGTAGGTCCTTTATTATGGCAATTGACCAACAAGACCCTCCCCTTTTTAGTGTAGCCGGCTTAAGACCCTCTTCGTATTTTTCTCCCCGTGATTTCCGCAGCAAATGTAAAGTACGGCGGGAAACGAGCAAGAAGGAAATAGAAAGGGGGCTGCGGGAAAATAGTAGCGCGAAAGGGGAACCAGAAAGCATTGTGAAAGGTGAGGAGCAAGGGTTTGAACACTCCCAGAAGCGTGGGGTGGGGTGGAAATTTGCCAAGTGACAAATTTCCATCTGATCGAGACGAGTCAACAGTTTCCCCACAATGTTGAATCTGGAGACAAAATCCAGACCATCGATCGATACTTTGACGAATCGGATCGCTACCAATATTTTTCCTAAGGGTTTTCAAATACTCACTTGAATGAATCAGATTCCAACATGCCGCGGCAGCTTGATTTTTGCGCACAAAAGATCGAGATTGGGCGTGAATACTTGACAATGAGTCAGGAATGTAAACGAGTAACAAAACTGCATAAAGAATTTTGAATTCTATATGTGTACGAGAAAACACCCGGGTAATTTATTTTCAGGTTTCCTTACAACACTCAGCCCCCTTTTTAGGGTCATATATCCGGGCGTTTATGGTAGAGCTAGGTCTTGCCCTCTACTCACGCTTCTGCCCTAGCACACCCTAGCCTAGCGCACCTCGACCCTAATTGTGCACCTCGTAGCTCGTCCCCTCCCTACCCTCTCCTCTTCGTCGCGTAGCTCACGCCAGTCGCCACTGTCCCGCGCCCGCCAGCACCTTAGTTCGTAGCCGTCCCACCTCCCGCCACTGGTTCGTAGCCTGCACCAGCTCGCGCCAGCCCACCTGCTCGTTTGCTCGCCAGTCCGCCAGCACGCCTGGTCGCCAGTTCGCACGCTAGCCAGCTTGCACGCTCGCCAGCCTGCCTGCTCGCCATCTCGCCAGCCTACAAGCCCGCGTACTCGCCACCTTGCACGCTCGCCTGCTCGCGAGCACGCCTGATCGCCATCTGGCATGCCCGCCTGCTTGCTCGCTAGACTGCTCACCAGCCCGCCTGCTCGCCTGCTTGCCAGCAGCGCCAGCAGCCAGCTCACTGGCTCACTAGCGCCACCAGCGCCAGCAGCCAGCACCAGGTAGCTTGCTAGCGCCTGCCAGTGCTAGTACCCAGCAGCACCAGCAGCCAGCAGCGCCAACAGCTAGCAGCGCCAGCAGCCAGCGCCAGCAGCCAACAGCCAGCACCCAGCGCCAACTGCCAGCAGCCAGCAGCGCCAGCAGCCAACAGCCAGCAGCCGGCAGCCAGAAGTGCCAGCAGCCAGCACCAGCAGCCATCAGCCAGCTTGCTGGCTCACCAGCGCCACCAGCGCCAGCAACCAGCAACCAGCACCAGCCGCCAGCTGCCAACAGCCAGTAGCCAGCGCTGGCTGCTGCCACCCGCTGCCATTACCGTAGCTACTACTGCCCGCTGCCGCCCTGCTACTGCCTACTGCCACCCACTGTTGTTGTAGCTGCCAATACCGCAGCCACTGCTGCTGCCACTGTGGCCGCTGCCACAGCCACCGCTTCTGCCGCCGCTGCCTCTGCAGCCACCGCTACTACTCCTGTCGCCACTGCTGTTGCCCACCGTCAGCTTCGGCCTCCAGCAGCCGACCACCAGCCGCCAGCACCAATCACCAGCCGCCAGCAGCTGACCACCGACCCTCAGCCGTCAGCCGCCAACTGCCACCACTCGCGGCGAGCTATTCACCACCAGCCGCCAGCCGCCAGTCGCCAGTCGCCAGTCGGCCGCCTGCCACACGAGTCCGTTGTGCCCCGTGGACTGACCTTCGTCCTGTGCTGCCAGTCCTAGTACCTCCTAGCTAGCTCCTTGGTATACTGCTCCTAGTAGATCCTCTCGCGCGTACTTCATCCTCGTTTGCTCCCCACTCCTCCTAGCAGCTCCTAGCCTACCGTCAGCCGCCGGCTAGCTGCTACTGGTGTCTTACAGTCACTAGCCGCTGCTGCTACCAGCCTCGTGCTCACTGCCACTGCTTTGGCTACAGTCGCCACTACTACAACCTCTGATTGTACTCCTCTAGCACCTAGTGCCTCCCACTAGTATCCTGATCGTTTCTAGAGCTCCTTGCCGCCTCTCCCCTTGGCATGATGGCCTCGTTTGCGTCAGTCCCTCGGCCAAACTGCCGAGCACTCCCCTCCACTCTCCGATTTCTCGCTCACCGTCTACAGCTGGTGAGCCCGCACCTAGACTGCATGCTCCTAGAGGATCACATGAGTTACCTCATTGGCTTCTGGCTACATGACCTCGACATCTATTACGGGTTCTCTGGCTAGTGCCACAGCGGCAGCAGCAGCAGCAGTGGAGGCAGTAGCATCAGCAGCGGCATCAGCCGCAGTGGGGTCTTGGGGGTGCTAGGCGAGCTGGAGGCTCTAGAGGTGCGGCCCTGGGGCGGTCATTGCCCTGGGGCCAGTGTGATTTCTTTGGAGGACCGAGGGCCTTGGGGCTTAGGTGTCTAGGTCCCACCACTGTAGTGCTACACTTGTGTAAAAATACCCATTGTTGTGGTGCTGCCAATATTATGAACCCACTATGGTGCTACACTTGTGTTGTGGCTTAGGAGTTTAGGTCCCACTGTTATTATACGTAGCACCACCACTCTCCCTTGTCCAGCTGTCCCCTCCGGCTCCCTCACCAGTCCGCACATCCCCTCGTTTGGTAGGAACCTAGTGGATGTCAGTCACCATTATGTTCCCTGGCTGCGAGAGACACGCCGCTTGCACAGTCACAGCCACCGGTCGACACTTAGCCATGTTTGAGCGTGACCCGGGGTCAGGTCTCTTTACAGTGCAAACTGAGTCCTCGCCGACTGCTGCATCTACAGCAGTTGCCGCATCCTACTCCTGTCGCTCCATAGCCCACCCGACCCTTCTGTGGCACCACCGCTTAGGTCACCCTGCACTCCCGCGTCTTAGGCACATGTCCCAGCACGGTCTAGTCACTAGTCTCCCTGACTCGCTTCTCGCCCTGCCTACGTCGGTAGCGCCACTGTGCATGTCCTATGTCAAGGGTCGGCAACGCGCCGCCTCTCACTCCTCCTCGTTTCCTCCTACCATAGCGCCACTACAGACGTTGTACATGGACATCGGGGGCCCTGCCCCGGTCCATGTTCTTAGTCGGGAGCGCTACTTTCTAGTCGTCGACGACTTCTCTCGCTTCACCACAGTGTTTCGTTGGTGCGGAAGGCCGACGTGCCTACTGTTCTCCTCCCATGGATTCTTACCGTTTGCACCCACCACCGCCTGCCTGTAGGTCGCTTACACTCTGACCGTGGTGGCGAACTCACCTCTGGCACTTTAGGACTGTTTTGTCGTGTGAAGGGCATTCGCCAGTCATACACTCTTTTGGACTCCTCACAGTAAAATGGGGTCGCTGAGCGATGCATCGGCCTGATCATAGAGGAAGCTCGCACCTCCATAGTCCACACCGGTGCACCCCATTTTTTGTGGCTGTTCGTCGTGCGCTACTCTGCTCACCAGCTTAACCTGTGGCCGCGGGGAGCATGGCCACAGGTTTCGCCAACCCTCCTCTGACCGGGTCTCCTGGTGACGCATCTGCGTTCCACGTCTGGGGCAGCCTTGCTCACGTCCGCGACACTCGCGCGGACAAGCTCTCAGCTCGAACCCTTCCTTGCATCTTCCTGGGGTTCCCGCTTGGCACCTCTGACTGGCTGTTCTACCACCCGTCACACCACCGCATTTATCACTCTGGTGACGTCACCTTCAACGAGACGCTCCCCTATTACCGGCGCTTCCCGCACCGCACTTCTCATGTGCCTCCTCCTCCTCTCTTCCTTGTCCCTGCCCCGCCTGCCACACCCCCCCCGCCCTGCCCAGCCTAGTCTAGTGTCTGCAACACCACTCAGTTCCCCTTGGTTGGGAGTCGGCAGGCTCTGGGGGCCCAGCTGCTGGGGGTGCGCTTGCTGTCCCTGTGGCACCTCCCCCAGCCTCGGTAACCCAGGCACCTCAGCCGCCTCCTTCCTTGCCTCAGCAGCAGCAGCCATCGCCGCAGCAGACTGAGCGGCCGCAACAGCAGCAGCAGCAGGGAGCAGTGGGCTCTGGGGGTGCTGGTGTTGGCGGTGTTAGTGTTGGGGGTGCTGGTATTTGTGGAGTTGGTGTTGGGAGTGCTGATTCTAGGGGTGCGAGTTCTGGAAGTGCTGCCTCTGGGGGTGCTGGTTCTGTGGGTGGTGCGTCCGAGGGTGCTAGTCCTGGGGGTATTGTTTCGCGGCATGCCGGTGGCAGCCGCGGTGTTGCTGGAGGTACTGGAGAGGACAGGGAGCAGTTGCAGCCGCAGCAGTAGCAGGCGCAGTAGTAGAAGGCGCAGCTGCCGCAGCAGGAGCAGCCGCAGTCTGCCCTTCGTCTCTTTGGTCTTGCTCCAGGTTCCCCTGTCAGCCCGCCCATTTTCCCTCCGGTGCGTGACCCTGTTTACGGCCCGTTGTTCCCTCCTCCGAACTCCACTCCGGCTCGTTTTCCCCCGCGCTCCCCTCCGTCCCCTAACTTATCCCCCATTCCCCCTTGTCCCCAGTCCCCAGTTCTTCCCCACTGGGTCCGTCGCCCCTCTGATGCTCGTCTTGTCTCTCCCCGTCCTAGTGTCCATCCTATGGTCCTTCATTCACATGCTCCTTCTGTCATAGTCCTCCCGTTGCCTACCCCGTCGTCGCTTCCATCGTCCCCCTCCTCGCTTCAACGCTGCTCGCACTGCTCGTCCTAACCTCTCGCGCCTGCTTGCGTTGCTTGTCACTGACCCTACTGCTCCTCCTGAGTTTGTCTCTGCGCTTGGAGCTACAGTCGCTGACTTTGCTGCTAGCCACCGTCTTGACTATGCTACCGCTCTGGTCTCTGGTACTGCCCCTCTTCCATTTTTCGGGAGTGCATCTGCCCTTGGCAGTGACATGCTAGAGGACACGCATTACGAGTTGGCCTACCTTACTGCCGCTGTTCCCCATCTTTGCTCCATGCTTGTATCCCCAGAGGGTGACCCAGATGCTCTCGACATCCCTGTTCCGCGCTCTTACGCTAAGGCTTTGTCGGGGCCCTGGGCAGCCCAGTAGATACAGGCCATGGAGGCTGAGATGGCATCCTACAAATCCATAGGCACTTACGTCGATGCAGTTCCCCTGCTTGGGGCGAACGTAGTCGATGGCATGTGGATCTACAGGGTGAAGCGCGCACCTGGAGAGCCGCCGAAGTTCAAGGCACGTTACGTAGATAGAGGCTTCAGTCAGCGTGAGGGTGTGGACTTCTTCCAAACCTTCTCCCCGACCCCGAAGGTGACTATACTTTGGGTCCTTCTTCATATAGCCGCGCAACGTAACTCTGAGCTTCACTCACTTGACTTTCTCTACAGCGTTCCTGCAGGGTAGTCTGTACGAGCAGATCTACCTCCGGCGCCCTCTAGGCTATTCCGGGTCCTTCCCACCTCGGACCGAGTGGAGCTAGCGCCGTCTTCTCTACGGCCTTTGTCAGGCACCCCATGTGTGGCACTACACTTCGCACCACTCTTGCTGAGCTGCAGTTCTTTCCGTCCTCTGCTGAACCCTCTCTCTTTGTTCGCACAGGTCAGACACGGTTCTACATCCTAGTGTACGTAGACGATCTTGTCTTTGCTACTCCTGATAGAGTCACACAGGCCTCAGTGAAGGCCGAGTTGCTTAGGAGACACACTTGTACAGACTCGGGGGAGCTGAGGCGCTATCTGGGCTTGGAGATCTCTCGTGACCGTGCTGCTTGCACGATCACACTCTCTCAGTCCCATATGGTGCAGCAGATCCTCCAGAGGTTCAGTCTCCATTTCTCCTCAGCACAGCCTACCCCTCTACCTGTGGATCACAAGCTCTTTGGACCTGTTTCGGCTGAGCTGGTCGAGGCTAGTGGTCCATACGCAGAGCTGGTGGGGTGCCCTATGTACCTGATGACCTGCACTCGACCAGATCTAGCTAACCCTCTCAGTCTCCTAGCTTACGTTGTCGCGACAGGGAGGCACCGACCAGTCCACTGGTCGGCTGCCAAGAGGGTACTAAGGCATCCGGTGAGCACATCAGTGCTAGGAGGACAGGAACCAGTGGTGCTCACTGGAAACACAGACACGTCATGGGCCGATGACTTGGAGACGCTCAAGTTGTCTTAGGGCTAGTGCTTTAGTCTTGGTGCTGGTGCAGTCTCATGGAGATCCACCAGATCGTTGTTTGTAGCTCAGTCCACTTGTGAGGCAGAGATCTACGCTTAGGAGCTCCGCTGGCTGTCGTTGTTCCTCACTGGCTTAGGTGAGCAGCCTAGGTCTGCCCTGGTCCTGTTTCCTGACAACAGGGCTATGATCCTCTTGTGACAGGAGGCTCGACTTGAGGGCAGGGTGAAGCACATCCAGCTGCGGTACTTCCTACTGCGTGAGTTGCAGCAGCACGGTCAGGTTCGTATAGTACAGTTGGCCTCAGAGGCCAATACCGGTGATATCTTCACCAAGGCACTTGCGCCTCGTGTCCATCAGCGGTTCTGTACTCAGCTTGGTCTAACCTCAGAAGCAGCACCACTTCTTGTACCCAGAGTCATAATATGCCTGCTTGTACTTGTTTTTCTATACCTGCTTGTCTTGTTACACTTGCTGACTAGCCTTTTGACCTCTTGTCTCAGTGGTCAGACTAGTAGTGCTGCCTGAGTTTTTGTATTACACTCACCAGAGGTCAGACTAGTAGTGCTGCCCTGGTGTACTTTTCTTTGTTATGATTTGGCACTATCTCGGCAAGGGGGTGTGTCAACAAATATAATTATCTAGGCTAGCTAGTTTATATTTCTTATAGCCTTAGTTAAGTCAATTCTTAGAGGATACAGTACTACCTTTGTAACCCTTGTTGTTTTCCCTTAGTCCTGCATTCTCTCGACAATCTAACACCTTGAAGTTTCAGTATACTGCCCTGGTGTACTTTTCTTTGTTATGAAATGGCACTATCTCGGCTAGCGGGTGTGTCAACAAATATAAGTATCTAGGCTAGCTAGTATATATTTCTTATAGCCTTAGTTAGGTCGGTTCTTAGAGGATACAGTACTACTTTTGTAACCCTCGCTGTTTTCCCTTAGTCCACCATTCTCTCGACAATCTAACACCCTGAAGTTTCAGTATAGTGTTCGTGTACCAGCCCTGAACTGCCAGTATGATTTATGGGATAACCTTAATTCATAGAATCTTGAAAATGCACGTGCCCCCACGGGCGTTTTTTTTTTTTTTTTTTTTTTTTCCGCCCAAACAAATTTCGGCTAAGTAGGCATTCCTGGCCTCAAAACATATGCATCCGAACAGATGTGTTCGTCTCTGAACTATTGGGATGGCTCGGAAGTGTAATTGCCTGCTTCGTCGGTTAACCCATCAGGTATGTGGAGTGGATTCAAACGTTCCCGAACCAGGTCCCAAAATATTTTTGTCTCTCATTCAAAATTCCTTAGAACGTTCATAAATTCACCCTGGTTGCGTCGATATTTGAAGTCACAAAACACGAAAATAAGGGAAAACCTCGAAAACATGGTATGTTTACCGCATCAATTTCTCAACTCATGATGA